TTTCAATTGCGTCCACTTGTTTATTATATCTATCAAGATTTAGCACCAATCAAACGAACACAAATTGGATTACCTGAAAGTTTATTTAGAAATCGGCAAGAATCAATTAAGGAACAATATTCAAAACATGAAGATGAAAGTCTGATACCTAAATTTTCTGATAAACAAGAGGTCAGTAAAGTGTATGAATGGATTTATACAAATTGTCCATCATTTCGTCGCTCATGTTATGTTATAACAAGTGTTTGGTCTGTAGGATTGCTTTTAGGATGTCTTGGTCAATTAATTCTTATTCTTATTCATTTATCAGTTAACAAAATTGTTATTTATGGACGTATAATATACATTTCACTAATAGTACTATGCGTTCTATTGACAATTATTTGTGGAAAAAGAGAACGAAAACAAAGAATGATATTAATTGAGCAATGGAAAGAAGACAATTCCAATGTACAGTAATTAGATATACGATGAGGGTGTGGGAATAAGGTGAAGATAATAAGATAAACATTTTACACTAACACTCATATCCTGATTGGCATGAAATAACTGAAAAAAAATACAAAACCTTGACTAAGTCAATAGCACTTAGTTTTATTTATTCTACAAAGTATTTTAAAATGTTCAAATAAATAAATGACGAAAGACAAAGTTACCGTAGGTCTGGAGAGAAAGAAATATCGACTAAAATATCTATTGTATGTATTCCTTAGACAAAATTCTTTCTTCCTGTAGATATATATGTGTTCAAACACATCTGTAGCTATGCATATAATCAGATGGCTATGTGGTATCAAAATGAGATGAACCTATGTAACTTTTGTGGAACACGATCTCAAAGGAGTGTTGAAGTGTATAGGGTAGGGTGTGAGTGTGGGTGGGTGTGGGTGTGGGTGTGGGTGTGGGTGGGTGCGTGTGGGTGTGGGTGTGGGTGTGGGTGGGTGCGGGTGGGTGTGGGTGTCAATATTGTCTTCATCCACACCAACACCCACACTCCACACCGACACCCACATCCCACACCCAGTTTCTAGGAACTCGGAACAAACGTGAGATCCCAGTTTCTAGGAATAGAATCCGAAACTGACATCCCTATTGGTGACTTCGATTTCTGAATCTTGTTAAAGAAAAACGCCTAATCCATTCACTAGCTATTGTTTACCATTGACAATTATAAATATTTCGATAGAATGATCTTTATGAATTATACTTTTCACAAAAAAAGCAGAAGCGTTTTGTACTTGGGTGAATATTGATTCTGTTTTATTTTTCATTTTAACAGTGAAGTAAATGACGATCGTAAAAAGTACACATTGTCAATTTATCAACAAATTGCATTTACGGCGTTATTTTATTCTCAAAATTCTTGAAAGTCTTATCTTATCTTGTAATCTCATGCAAATATCTCACTCGCACGTTTTGAATAAGCGTTCCTTGTGAGCAGTAAGTACGCATTTAATATTATGGAGAAAGATAAACATCAGTTACATTGTTCTAAACATCTGAAATCATTTGATCTTACATGTGGTGAATGTCATCGAAATGGCACCACTTCATCGGAACATTTATTTTCAAATGCTAGGTCTTCTTGGTTTTGTATTGCATGTATATTTGAAAACAAACCTACTGCTGAAGTTTGTGAGATGTGTAAAGCAAAGAAATCAACTCTGGTAAATATTTGTTAGATATTATCGTTAAGATATTAATAATTTGAGTCTATGCTATAGCAAAATCAACCATTGTCAAATAATGTGACTCTTATTAACAGTCATTCATTAATTAACACTACACAAACAGACAGGTTAATTCTAATGAATTCGGCAACGTCGTTAAATCCATCTTTAACTACAACATATATGTCTATGAATATTCGTGATCGTCGACATAGAGACGAAGCAGAAGCAGAAAGAAAATTTCGAACTATCATCGAACGTTGTCGAAGAGTAGTTTCTCATTGGTGATTAAGAAATATTTTCTAATATTTGTGGTTTTTTATTATTTAGACAAACACACATTTTGTTGACGATGAATTTCCTCATTCACCAAGTTCATTAGGTGATTCATATTCACAGAATAATTTCGAATGGGTTCGAATTTCAAAGTTTTGTTCTTCATTTCGAAACGATGATCCTACTGAATGGACTGTTATGTCATCACCAGAACCAAGCGATATTGAACAAGGTCTTTTAGGAAACTGTTGGCTTGTAACTGCATTATCTCTGATTAGTGAAAGACCACGTATGCTTCAACATATACTTCTAACACAGAACATTAATGATGAAGGTGTATATCTCGTTCGTTTATGTCATAATGGTTTATGGAAAACAATTATTGTTGATGATTCATTTCCATGTTACTTTGATGATATGCTTCTTTTTAGTAAAGCTCGACGTCGACAACTGTATATTCCATTGATTGAAAAAGCGTGTGCTAAACTTTTTGGTTCATATTCAAAATTAATTAGTGGTCAAATAGAGGAGGGTCTTCAATTGTTTACTGGTGCACCATGTGATCATATCGATCTTGAGAATGATGATGAACCAATCGATAGTGATTTGGTTTGGGCAAAACTCTTGTCTAGTTGTCAAGCAAAGTAAATTTGTTCAGTCATTCATATTCTTGAATGTTTAGTAAAATATTTTAGTTTATTAATTGGTGCTTCAACAAGTCGTACCGATGTGAACAAGGATGTATACGATCAATTTAAAGTACATGGCAATCATGCATTTTCGATTCTAGCAGCTCATGCGCTCGACAATGATTTAGGTCGTTTTGTTTTATTACGTGATCCACATGCACACTCATGTTATACAGACGAACGTGTCACTCCTGAAGTTCTTCAAATATTACGTACTGTACATAAAGCACATCGTTCATCTGGAGCTTTTTGGATGGAATGGTCGAAATTTCTTCTTTTATTTTCAAAAATAACGATCTCAACATATGTTGGTAGTCATTTTGATATACGCGAACAAGCTCGGTTCAATCGATCACCAACCGATTCTATTTCCGTCTTTTACTTTCACGTACCTCAGTATGTATCAAACATATTCTGTGAAACACGATCGAAACGTGTATAGAAGCATAATGGTACAGGCTTGGATCTCCAACGTCCCACAGATCCAGCGCTGTAGTCAGGAAATTTTCAATGGGATTTCCTACTAGCAGAAAAATTCTTTTTGCTTCGCTACAAGATTTTTTACTATCTCGATGCATTAACAATAGGTGGAAATTCATAAGTAGAAACATATGTTGCAAAATTCTCTCTTTCACAATGGTAGCACCTTTACCAGACTTACTCATTTTAATCTCTTCAGAAATGTATTAACATTTTTCTCCCCGAAATTCAACAATTGAAAATCAAAAAGAAATATTTCAACTTGATATTTTGTAAGATTGACAGAGGAACCTCACCGGCGCTAAAACGTGAAACGCACATATTTTATTTAAGTTAGAAGTTGTTTGAGTCTAACTATTTCTTTTGTGATCTTACTATAGTCTTCTACATAATCAATGACATTTGACAACAATAAGTAAGGTATTTAAGACGGAGGAAAATTATTAATCCATGCCGATGATTCCTATGACCTTTTATCTCAGTTGCAGGTAGCTGCAAAACCTTGACTTAAAACTTACATTCATCATTTTTCTTCGAACAATGCATATAAATTCCAAATAAAACAAATAAATTAGAGATTTTTTTGGTGAAAAAAAATCATAATTTCTTGTTTCACGTAAATACTATTACATAATTAGGACAATGTTGATCAATGTGAGTATGCTTTATCATCGTCGTGATCGAGACTCCGGCGAGATTCTTACGCAATCATTTATATTAGGCAATGCGGTGGATGAATCAATGCAAACTGACGAACGAAACTTGATTTTACATAGTCAATACGGTCCATGTCTCGCTTGGTTTGGATCATTAAGACCAGGCCTTTATTTTATCATACCATTTTCAATCAGCTTCTGGAATAAAGATGATCACGAACAAATAATAGACGGTTTCACATTAGTTATTCAATCGAGTGTTCAAATTGAAGGATTACTTGGCGATGGATCACCAACATTCCTTGCTGATTCTCTCATTGCATATCTGATGAAAAATTGTAAAGAACCAGCACAGGTATTATTTATTATTTCGATTTTTTCTAATCTCGGCATTTTATATATAGCATCAAAATACCTCTATTTATATCACAAACAAGGATCAAAAGGTGACGATCATAGTAGTTGAGAATCAATCAACGACACATCATCTAAACTTTAACATAGATATGACTAAATCAATAAATATCCATAATTCTCGAAATTCATTAATAACACATGATTGTATTCCACCAGGTTATCGGCACCTCATTTGCTTAATAGAATTTAGGAGTCAACTTGGAAAACCTTCTTATCTCGTGTATAATATGTCCCGACTACTTACTAAAGACGTCAGTGAATCAATACCACCGATTAATATGGCGGAAAATGATATACACTCGTTACGACCAATTTAACAAAATCAGACTTCGCAGTTTGTTTCATTTATATGTGTTCTTTTCGTATAATTCATTGAATAAACAAGCTGTAAAACTATTTAGTTTTTCTTCTCACGAGGGAAGGCCACCAACTGTCTCCTCGCTTTTGAGCTGAAACTCAGTTGACAATAGGTAATTGAACGTGCTGATTCCGAATATCACAATGGTTTTTGCCCGCTTTCGATTTAAAGACCCGTTTTCTAAAGACCTTGATTTTTCAACCGAAAAACCATTTTCACTAAAAAATTTTTGACCTGTCCAAATGAAAGAGCACGTCGTCAAACCTACAGAAAACAATTTTTCAAGGTTCTAAGCAAGGTTTTGAGCGAGTTTTCTGCGTCTAAAACTTAAAAAAAGAGGGAAGACCGCTAATATTCTTACACAATTTATGAGAGAAAAACGACTGTTTTTCTTTCTGTTCTGCTTTTTTACTTATCAAAGGCATTCAAAGAGGAGGGCTGCATGCATGTGTTAGACATGATATACATCATGATACATTCCAATTCCACAAGAATTCGATAAAAAGGAAAAACTGTGCACAAATGGCAGCTATAGAAAAATTTTCAAAGCATGTGAGATGCATAGTTCAGTGCAAAGAACAGAGAACGGAAGAAAAATATTTATAAGAGCAGCAGTCTATAAAAATATGTGTAATTTTAACACTCCTATCGGAGTGTCAGAGTTATGTAACGTTTGACACCAAGTTTTTACTCAAACTCAAAAAGCGTCCGTCGATTTCGATAGATTTCGTCACTCTTTTCCCGTAAACCAAAATGAATGCGCAGAACATCGTTTCGGCTTTGAGTAATTTAATTGCAAATAATTTAACCGTTTCACAACAGTCTCCGATTACATCACAGGAGCGACAAATGGCTGAACATCTAGCTGACACTGTTAAATTAATGACCAGTGGACAAAAAGTTGATTACGTTGAAGAAACAACTTTAGATTTTGGCCGTTATACCGACGACGAAAAGAGTGAAGAGGAGGAAGAATCCATGTTGGATGAGAAAGAAAGTGAAGAAATGGACGAAGATTGGAAGAACAAAGAATTAGCTTTAGAAAAATATAATTTAAGAAGCTTTTCAAAAGAGTTTATGCGGCAAGTTATCGATTTTGTTGATCATGCAGGTCTGGGAAGTAAACATGAGAGATCTTGGAAAGCCATTCATCACCGATTTCGAACAATCCCAGGCAGAAATTATATTCCACGTTTTCGAAAATATTTGGAACATCATGGAACAAAGCGACAGAAGACTCAAGATCTGGACAGTTTAGTTTACAAAAAGTTAGTTGATGCAAGACAAAAGAATCTCGTTGTTCATGATTTGGATATCCAGCGATGGAGTTTAAAGATAGCTAAAGAAGTGAAGCTCGACGATTTTCATGCTTCTCATGGTTGGCTGGAGAATTTCAAAAATCGTCATAGATTAACTTCTCTAAAAATTACAAACTTTGTTTCACACCATCAAGTCGAAAATCGGGAAGTTCTAGAAAAATCAAAACAAAATTTTATGTTGGAGTTTAATAAAGTGTCGTCTCACTTTAAACCATCTGAAATTTTTAATACAGACCAAACAGGTGTCGAAAAAGAATTACACTCCAATCGTACTATCTCTTTCGTTGGTGAAAAGAGGACTTTTGCAGCTGTTCAGTCGAAAAATGCTACTACACACTCTTATACTGTACAGCCAACTATCTCATTAGACGGACGGCTCTTAGAAACGATTTATTTATGCTTGCAGAAGCAGGGAGGTGAGTTTAACGTTAGTCGAACCGTTTTAAACCGCTATCGCTCGTTTTTTCCCTTATCTTAGGAAAAATGGGAGAGCAAATTAAGAGACACTTGTTTCAGCCGAAAAATGTCGTTGTAATCTGTTCGGCGTCGGGAAAACTTACTACTTCATTGGTTGAATATTGGAGAGATGACTGTTTTCTTCCATTGGTTGGTGCTAAATGTTTGCTGCTATCAGACAGTTATCCAGGACAAAATCGCGAAGAACTCTATCAACCGGAAAATTGCGGTGGTAAAAAGGTCACACGTTTACAAACACCACAAAATACAACTGATGAGCTACAGTCACTGGATTGTTATTTCAACAGACAAATTAAAATTTTCCTCAAAGCATGTTATCATCGTGTAACGTTGGATGAACTAGATATACACTTACACGAACGAAATAACATCATACGTTTAGCCAGTCTAATGCACAATCAATTGAGCGCAGGTGTATTCACGCCAATGATTAAATACGCTTGGTTCTTCAGTGGCTTAATACGTGAAGATCCTTCTCCATTTGTCAGCGTTAATCAAGTTTGCTTTGCAAGTTCAGGAACTCATATACAGTGTGAAGAAAAAGAGTGCGATGAGTCTGTTTTTATAACTTGTGCTCGATGTTCGAAGAAATTGTGTTTTCAACACTTTTACCAGTTATCATTTCCATTAAAAGCACAGCAAATATTTTTACGAATCATGGCTCTGTGAAACCGCTTTATTGCCCCCTTTATCACAAATTGCTAATAACATGTGTGAAAAAACAGAACAGAAAGAAAAACAGTAGTTTTTCTCTCATAAATTGTGTAAGAATATTAGCGGTTTTCCCTCTTTTTTTAAGTTTTAGACGCAGAAAACTCGCTCAAAACCTCGCCTAGAACCTTGAAAAATTGTTTTCTGTAGGTTTGACGACGTGCTCTTTCATTTGGACAGGTCAAAACATTTTTTTAGTGAAAATGGTTTTTCGGTTGAAAAACCAAAATCTTTAAAAAACGGATCTTTAAATCGAAAGCGGACAAAAACCATTATGATATTCGGAATCAGCACGTTCAATTACCTATTGTCAACTGAGTTTCAGCTCAAAAGCGAGGAGATAGTTGGTGGCCTTCCCTCGTTAGTTAGAAGCTAAAAATGATATCTTTTTCTATGAAAATTTTTTCGATTCCAAGATTTTACCAGTTGAAATCGGAATCGAATAGAAAACAATTTTAACCTTTTAGATTCGTATTAGGAATGAACATATCGCTTTTCTAGACATAAAAACTTTCCTTCTTTGTCAAAAATACTGGAGTCGTCAATTATTCTAAACAAGATTAACTAGATATTTCCTTTCGTTTTCATGTTCTTTAATCTTATATTATTTCTTTGTTGTATGGAATCCACTTCTTCACTTCGTTGCTTTCTATTCCGAAACATATGCTTAGTTATTTTTCTCAATATGATTGTCTATGTGCTGCTTTGCTCAATGTTCTCTCCAATTGATATTCAAGTTAGTCAATGACAGATAGAATAAATCACATATAATTCGATCTTGGAAAATTTAAAATGTCTATAAGAATAATAAAACAAGAAATTGCTATTTCACATACATCTTTATAATTGTATCATATTTTTAAAAACTTGTTACCTATAGAATTTGAGATATACTCTCCAAATTTTATCAGTTTAATTTTTCTAAGAATTTAATTTTTTTTTGAGTCTCAGAAAGAGAACAAATAAAAACAAAATAAAAAACGCAGCGATAGTATTTAGAATTTGTTTTTCAGAAAAATGCACATTATCATATATGATGGTAATAGAAATAGTAAATAAATGAAGCAAACAGTGCAAGATATTCAACAAAAGTTGTATATAGACTGTGTAGAATATCAGTGTAAGATAAAAAAAAGTAGCTCTATAAGCCCCTTTGATATGTACATCAAGAGTTAAGAAATAAGACACTTCTTTTCTTTTTCACTTCACCGAAGTTTTTTAAATTTTACAAAGGGCATTTGATATTTGGAACAGTAATGTTCAGTAAAATATTTAAATGAAAAGAAATTGTTTCACTCCCAACATACAAAACAAAGTATTCTTAAAGTACTCCTAGATTAACAATTTGCTCACTAACTACATCAACAAATCATTCAAACCTATTAATAGATAAAAATAATCGAAATCAAATGTTTCAAAAGTAGCCTTTGCAAAAAATTTCAGGTAGATATTTTTTTAAATTTCATTTTCCGCTAAAACATTATAAAAAATCGATTATATCTTCAGATAAAACCACAACTCTAAAAATTGTGAATATCATAAAGTATTATGTTTGGAAAAATAATTATAAATAATTTACACAAAATCAAAGAAACTGTACCCAATAGATTTCAAATATATGTCTTTATTAGAAAAATCGTTTTAAATCACAATGTAGCATTTTTTTTAAATTTTTGCAACAACAAAGAAATGATGTTGCTTATTATCTTTTTCATTCAAATATAAATTAGTCTAATTTTTTCAAATTTGTGATAAATTTTGACAGAAGAGTTTTCGCACAGGGTCATATATATGTATTTGATCTTTTATAACTAATTACTCATGTCATAATTTCAATCGTATCATAGTGCAATCAGAATGATCAAACAATTGATGCATTTATTTTTCTTCGAGTGAGAACATATAGGAGTATATCTATAAAACCACTTTTATTTAATGCCCTCTTTCTAATTTAACCCTTTGGGGACGGTTGGCCCCTTAAGGGGCCATGGCGATTCTCTAGCATCTCAAAACACGCAGATTCCTATATGAGATTAGTTTTTGTGAAAGCATTTATCAGAGAGTTTTTTGGTATAATTTGGATTGTAATTAGTTTATTTTATTCAGATATCCAGTAATAGATTATAAGTTCTTTTAGAAAATAGAAACGTTGATTGATTTATGACGAAATATACAGAAAAAAAA